ACAGAGAACCCAGCCGGCCTCTCTGCCCATCAGCAGAGCCCAGCCAGTGGTTTCTGTCGGTCTCAGAGCTCAGCAGGCAGTTCTGCCTGATATGGGTCTGCAGACAACAGACAATGGGCCATACTAGCCTTGGAGTCCTTCCTGCCACCCTGCCTGGGAAGGGAAATAAATTCCCAGCTCTGCCCAATAGCTGAGCATAGCTTACATCTGGCCCCACCAGGAAACCTGCCCAGAGAACCCAGGCAGCCACACAGTGCATTCATCAGCCCTGCTTGGGCAGGAAGCCAAGGCAGCTATTGACCATAGCCTCTGGCCCCACATAACCAGGGAGCCTGAACAGCAACCCTGGGCAAACTCAGAGCCCAGGTTACAACCCCATCCAGTCATGGAGCCCAAACTACACCACCGCTCAACAGTAAAATCTAACCTAGGGCCTTGTCTGATTGCTGAACACAATCTGCAACCTTACCCAGTCAGGGAGCCCAGCCAGAGACCCTACCCAATCACCAAACATAGCCTACAGCTCTACCTAAATAGAAGGCCTGGACAGTGACCTAGTTTGACCATGGAGCACAGTTTCTGGCCCCACCCACTGCTAGATACAGCTAGAGGCCCCTCCTGACCAGAGAGCTCAGCCAGTAACCTTGCCCAAGAAGGGAGTACAGTCAGTGGCCTACTTGATGGCGAAGCCCAGAATGTGGCCTCACCAAATCCAGGGCACAGCCTGCAGCCCTGTATGCTCACAGAGTACAGCCTAATGGCCAGTTCAACTGCAAAGTCTGCCTATGGCCCACCTGACCAGAGTCCAGCCAGCATTATCTGGTCTGAGAGCACAATCTGAGACCCCACATGACCAGTAGTGATTATAGATCCCAGCCTACAGCCCTGCTCAGTCATGGAGTCCAACCACTGGCACTGCCCTGGCAGGGAACACGCCCTGTGACTTCGCCCAAAGAGAGGTGACTGCAGAGCCCAGCAGTGGCACTCCACCCCCACCTCAGAACACAGAACGTTTTCCAGGATAGATTATATGTTAGGCCACAAAATAAGTCTCAACAAATTCAAGAAAGTAGAAATTATATCAAATACCTTTTTCAACCACAATGATATGAAACTAGAAATAATAGGAAGAAAGCTAGAAAATTTACTAATACTTAGAAATTAAACAATACACTTATGAACAACCAATGGATCAAAGAAGAAATCAAACGGGAGATGAAAAAAATATTTTGAGTCAAACAAAAAAAAGAAATACAACACACCAAAACTTATGAGATGCAGCAAAAGCAGTTTTAAGAGGGAGGTTTATAGCAATAAATGCCTACATTAAGAAAAAAGAAATATCAGTTAATCAAAAACCTCCCAACAAGAACAACAACCAAAAGTCCAAGACCAGATGATTTCACAGGTGAAATTTACCAAACACTTAAAACAAGTCTTTTTCATTCTTCAAAAAACATTGAAGAAAAAGAAACTCAGATTCATTTTATGAGGCCAATATTACCTGATGCCAAAGCCAGATAAGGATACCACAAGAAAAGAAAACTGCAGGCTAATATCCTCAATGAATACAAATGCAAAATTTCTCAACAAAATCCTAGAAAACCAAATTCATCATTGCATTAAAAAGATCGTACACTGTGGTCAAATTGGATTCATCCCTGGGATGCAACAATGGTTCGACATATTAAATTAATAAACGTGATACATCACATTACTAGAATAAAAGATAAAAATCATAAGATCATCTCAATAGATACAGAAAAAGCATTTGACAAAATTCAAATGACAAAAACTCTCAACAAAGTGGCTATAGAAGGAATGTACCTCAACATAATGAAGGCCAAATATGACAAACCCACGATTAACATATTCAATGGTGAAAATCTGTAAGTTATTCCTCTAAGATCAGAAACAAGACAAAGGGTACCCACTCTCACCAATTCTATTCAACATAATACTAGAAGTCCTAGCCAGAACAGTCAGGCAATAAAAAGAAAGAAATGACATCCAAATCAAAAAAGATATGAAATTGTCTGTTTGCAGATGATGTGATCTTATCTATATATACAATTTTAAAGACTCCAAGAACTGTTAGATAAAAAAACAAATTCAATAAAGTTGTAGGATACAAATTCAATGTACAAAATGCAGTTGCAGTCCTATATACTAACAATGAATTATCTGAAAAAGAAATAAAACTTCCATTTATAATAGCATCAAAAACAATAAAATACTTAGAAATAAATTTAACCAAGGAAGCGAAAGATTTTACATTGAAAACTATAAGACATTGAAAAAAGATATTGTAGAAGACACAATGTCTTTAAATGGAAAGAAATCCAATGCTCATGGTTTAGAAGAATTATGTTGTTAAAATATGCGTATAACTAAAGCCATCTATACATTCAATGTAATCCCTATCGAAATTCCAATAGCAGTCTTTACAACAATATAACAATGTGGAACCACAAAAGAGCCCAAATAGCCAAAGCAATCCTGAGAAAGAAAAACAAAACTTGATTATAAATTATATTGCAAAATGATGATAGTCAAAACAGTATGGTACTAGCATAGAGGCAGACCAATGGAACAGAATCGAGAGCCCACAAATAAACCTGTGCATATACAATCAGCTAATATTTGACAAGAGAGTGAAGACTACTCAATGGGGAAAGGATAATCTCTTTTAAAAATGATGTTAGGAAAACTGGATATTCACATGCAAAATAACGAAATGAGACCTGTATCTTATACCACTCACAAAAATTAACTCAAAATGGATTAAAAACTTAAAAGTAAGAACTGAATCCATAAAATTCCTAGAAGAAAACATAGGGGAAAAGCTCCTTGACATTGGTCTTATCAGTGATTTTTTTAGATATGAAACCAAAGCACCATCACCACAATAATTAAAATAAACAAGTG